CTACTCACTCACCGCAGGGAGAGCTAGGCTTCTGCCGTCACCTAGGTTGAGCCATCGCATCTTTTGCTTCCTACTGGATTCCAGTATCACTTCCCACTCCAAAAAAAAAAAAAAGGGAAGAAAAAAGCCTGCACACCTGCCTTGTTGGCTCTCTTGACCCTAAGGAACTTGAGCTGTTCCACACGGCTGTCTTGCTTCCCTCCTTCCTCGGACTGGGGTTCAGGGACACACCTGGTTGTGGGGAGCGGGCAGGGCACAGCATCAACGTGATTTCACACACTGGTAGGCAGACCTGTACCAGACTTTTCTCTTGAGCCAACGCGTCCAGTGCAGTAACTATTTTCTTTTCTGGCTACCCCCACGCAGGGCAGCTGCCAGTGCCCTCCTCCGTAGCCTCCTCACTGGCCTCTGGAAAAGCTGATTCCCCCCAGTCTTTGTGGCACCTGCCTTCAATTGCCCTCCTTACTTGCTGAGACCTTTCCCATTAAAAAAAGAAAGAAAAACAAAGAATGAAAGGGAAAAACAAAATCCTTTAATAAGAATATTACGAGTTTGGGGGAATGTAAGTGTCTTTAAAAAATGAAAATTTTCAGTCATAATTAAAAAAAAAAAAAGTTCTTGGGAAAAGGAGCGTGTTGATAGAAAGAATGTAAGTTTTCTCTGGGTGATTTGTTTCTTTACGATAGCAGATGTGGCGTGTCTTATTACTGTGGAGTTTTATTTACTCTGTTAGTCAATCTAGCTCAACACTAACAGACCAAGTACAAGTTAGGACTGCTCAGGTCAACCGCTGGCGGTGAGCAGCACATCCAGCTCGGTCTGCTTACTGGCTTCTTTATGTTCTAATTGCCAAGGGCTCCCATTCTCGTTAGCTTGGCACACATCTGGGGTGTGTACAGAGGACGGGTAACAAAAGGTCACATTTATTTTATTTGGTGAGAACCTAATGCATGGTTTCTCTTGAGTAAAATGAGGAGAATACCTCTGGAACAGCCCATTCTTGGTATAATCAAAGTCCTTTTTTTTTTAAAGAGCAATGTATACACTAATGGGGCTGTTAACCAGTTAAGTGCCCTTCTCCTCTTACTGAAAGGGCCTGAAAATTCACGACCAAAGGAATCATATGCCACAAAGATAGGGGCCCCCTTGTGCTAGAAATGTTTTCAAAAACAGATGTTTATCATTCTGAGAAGGAAAATGAACGCTTCTGAGCCTTTGAGAGGCATCAGGCTGAACTGGGAGGCTAGACTAAGACCAGAAATGCATTACACTGGGTTGCATTATTTCAATACAATTAACAGCAGAACAAAGAGTGTCGAGCTTTTTATCACATTTTAAAAACCAAATGACTTATAACCTATCCCTTTTCCTGCTCTCTGTCATTCCCCTCCATAGCATGCAGATATTCCCTACAGCGGAATAAGCGTTTTTGATATTTACAGAAACATAGTTTAAAATGATCAAAACAGTTAAGTTTCAACATCGCCTACTGGACATGCACATTAACAATACTGGCTAATTTTGTACCTGTGACAAGACTCTGGTTAAAACCAATCAATGGGGGAAAGCCGTTTGGACGAAAACCAGCATCACTAATTTTCAGCCAGCACGGAACGGACGCAGCGAGAGAGAAACTGCTTCACAACAGGAATCTCCCGTGAAAAAAACAAATGAGTAGGAATGGGCAAAGATGAAGGACTCAACGACGAAAATGCTGATCTATGCTTCCTGTTCGCAAATAAGCCTTCGGATCACCATCTTAACTCGAGGTGTAGTTAAAACACCACACTCAGGCACACACCCCAAACAAGCAACACTTTGGGTCCAAGAGCATTGTACAGTTCACGACTGGACCTGTTACGCACCACTGCCCCTTGTAAGCAATCAGGTTTTGTATTGGAAAATGTTAGGCACCCATTTAGAAGGCCAGCGTTACATCTGGGCATTGGAGGCACAAGCGCAGCAAACAGCGGGGGCTACTTCGGAAGGATTCACTGCCATTTCTCTGAAAAACGCAGTTGGACACTTTCACGTTCCACGTTTCCCAGCAAGGGAAATCCTGCTTTGAGAATCTCACTGCTCCTAGACTTGTTCTAACGGGCTATCCACAATAGCCCGGTTTGTGGCAAGTACCAAACATTAGTCCTAAGCCTGGTGCATTTGCTGATGGGACCTGCTGACAGCTTTGTAATCCACTCTCTAGGGCTCTCTGACCTTTTAGTTGACATTAAATTAAACAGACTAAACACTGATTCGGTCCAAGGTGAGTTCAAATAGCTCAACCAAGAGTGTAACTTTAAAAAAAACTGCTGAAATAAAAATGAATTATTTTCGTAAAACTGGGTACAATTCTGTCTATACAAACTCCAAAAGCTAGTGTTTCCATTACCTTTTGTTGGGATAGTAAAAGTATTTTTCCCACCCCTTTGAACTGAATCCTTTGGTGTTGGGGCAACAGCGCAATACAGAGAATGCTGAGGACCAACAGGTTTGCAAACAAGCTTTCATTATTCTAGTTCAATCTTTCACAAACATACTGTACAGAGTCTTATATGGTATAAAACAAAAGAAAACATCTCTGTCTATTCAATTTAACACAACACCAAAATAAAGCAATTAAGACTTTGGGGAATTCAAAGGTACAAGAAAACAAAAACGGTTATTACTAATTCCTCAGCTTTTTACCGTAAACATTTGTCATTTAAGAGACATAGTGTTTAATAAGGTTTCTTTTGTACTGCAGGTACTTTTGGTCTTTCCTCACTGTAGAACAAATGAAGAATTAAATGAACCCCATAGCATCCTCTGAAGGAGATGAAAAGATAAAGCTCCCAGACACATCTAGCTTATCTTTAAGAATATATTGTTTCTGAACTTTTCACAAATAAAAATACTAAATCCACAACTAATGATGCTTATTTTTGGAAACAATAAATACTGTGAGGTACAATAAATCCTATAGGAATAATAACAACAGAAACATATTAACAGTTTCCTTTGGCAAATTTAACGGAAGTAAATGCTGATGTGAACATAGAAAAAAATAATTACAAAACATATGAAAAATGGAAATGAAATGAAAAGTTAAAACAAAGGGGGTATTTCTAACTTTTAGACTGATGAGAAATGTGTGAGGCCATTCAATGTAGAAAAGAAATACATTCTCTTGAAATTATTGTACTGTTTGACAAACTATTCCTTGTTTATCTTTGTTTCCCCCCTTCACTTACAAAAAAAAAAAAAAAAAAAGACAACAAAACACAGTCTGCAATACACACCCTAATGGTTTTGGCTGCAGACTGAACTTGAGTAAATATCATTTAGTCAGTATGTTGTGGTAGCTGAGGCTGCCGATGTGGTTAACCAGCGCAGGCAACATGTGTAAACATCGGAAACAAAACACAACAAAACAGAAAAGGTTTAGAGAACCATCTCCCCCCGTTTTCTCCCTCTCTGCTGCTTGGTGTTAGGCTTGCCTTCTCTCTGACAAATCGTGTAGGGAAACACAAAACACTACCCAGCGAGAGAGCCTGTTTTAAACCCTGTTCTTCTGGCTTTTCAGAAGGGAGTGTTGCTCAATTCAAGTTCAGCACATGTTTTCCGAGCTTCCAAGTGCGGCTGCTGTTAAACGTCTTTTGAGTTTGTCTATCAAACGGGCCTGAATCGTAGTCCTACTGAAGAACTTGCAACAAATTAGACAGCCATTCGATAGACCGGCCCAGTTCAGACTTTTTCTTTCTTTTTAAAGGATAAGGGTTAGGTCCTTGCAAATGTGTGTTCAACTCTTTTACTGTATTCAGCTTTGTTCCATAGTGAGTAATTTGGGCTTTTGTATCCTGAAATATTATCCTGCCTCTAAAGAATAAAAGCCTTCGCTGTTTCACACCACATAATTTTGTTTTCCTTTTATGTAACTTAACATATAAGCAAGAAGGATGCAATGTTGATTCTAATAACATTCGGCACTTGAAAGAATCACCAAGTGTTTTTTTTTTTTTCTTAAAGCGGTTTTCTGGTGGCCGACAAATTGGCCTGTGGTTATGTTGAGTGACTAATTGTATTTTCTTTTCTGGAAACTTGTGCAAAGTTGGCAGTTTTGTGTTAACACTAATACTTTTGTTTGGCATTTGTGCCCTATACTGACCAGACCATTTTTATACAAGTGAATTTTTTTTTTTAAAAAAAGACACTTATTTGAAGTATGGCAATAGTTTAAGGATAAAAAGAAGCATGGATATTACACATCCCCTTGTAGTGTATGAAAAAAGTGCATGACTGGATTTATGTACTAGTACAGGACATTAAAAAAAATCAGATCTGTGCTGAAAAGCATGCCAGCACCTCTTTATCACTATATCTAGCAGGTAGTAAAAACAAGACCATGTTTTTTAAAAATGTGCATTAATGCTAACATAAATGAATACAGCTAGCCAGCAAACTATTTTTTCCTGCATATCTAACAGCTGATGTAACTGTAAAAATTAAACAAAAGAGTTAAACAACATCAATACAATTGTTTTACATCATCGGCCTCTCAAGGCTAAATATTTACAGGTGAATCTGCCATGCTGTAGTTGAAGATTCTCTCAAAACCTTAAAGTTCACAAAAGACAACTATTAAGAAGTTCCTTTTTTGTTTCTTTTTTCTTTTTTTTCCCCTCCCATTTATTATTATTATTTTTTGCAGGCAACAGTCATGGGTACAACAAACTGTCTCTTCGGAGAGGACCCAGAATTATTATTCTGTCAAAATTTGGGCTACTTGCACGCTTTATGTGTGTGTGTACGTGTCTTTAAAGGGTACTTAGTTTTCACCCCCAAATGAAAGGTCCCACCCCTTTTCCAAAACTATAAAGGAAAACAAAATTTCAAAAGCACTTAGTGTTTATCTTTTTATATCTAAAGAAAATATGTGTATGTGTGTGTGTGTAGATGCAGAGGCACACATGTGCACACACACACACACCCAAGTACACAAGCACACACTGACTATGGCAGTTCAAATATGTAGGCCATCTGGTGAGAGCTGGCATTTGTAGTGTCCGTTCTGAGACTAATCTACTGAAGTGAAGGGAATGTTTTTGTGGAGATTAGGGTTCTGACTGTGCCGATTTCGGCTTCGCACAGAGGAAAACATCATATTGCAACCGGGGACTTTGCACTTGTGCATTTCTCGCAAATGCACAGTTTTGTAGTGCACTCTCAGGGTCCCCTTGTTGCTGTACATTTTGTGGCAAATGTTGCACATAATCCCACCATTGCTCCCGGACAAGCTGTTGAACATCAGAGATCCCGAAACTTCAGCCCCGAGGCTCCCAGGGAGGGCAGGGGCCTCGGCCTTGTGTGCCGACTCCCCACTGTCACTCGCCCCATCAATGTCGTCGAGAAGAATCCCCTCATCACTGCCTGCGTCGGATTCCCGGGAGGAGTGGATGCTGCTGCTGGACTGGAGGCTGGAGGTGGTGCTCAAGTCAAGGACCATGTAGTCCTCCGCCATGCCTCTTCCATACCCGTTCAGGTGCGAGTCTTCAGTCCCTGCGGGGGAGGAGGCGTCTTCCCTGACGTCGAGGCCCATGGGGTGCTGGGCTCCATAGATCTTCATCAAAAATTCATCCCGGAGGTCCTTGCTAAGGGAGGGCTGCGATGAGTCCAGGCCCATGTCATCGAGTTCTTTGGTCAACAGTTTACGATGCAGATTTATGTTGGCACTGTGTCTAGGAAAACAAGAGGGAAGGGGGCGGGGAGGTGTGCGGGGGTGGGAAGGGGTGAGAAAAAGGAGGGCATTTTAAAATTGATTCGGCTTTCACTAGGCATCAAATAAGCACATTCATTGCTAATTACACCATTATAAAAGCAAACATTTCCCTACATCCTCAGGATTTGGGAATAAGTGGTGGTGGGAAGTGCAATAAGGGGAGCTTTTCATTAACATAATTTTATGAGAGTAAAACTCTTCAATGGTAGGATGAAGGCGAACCCATGCACCCTCAGCTCAATGATTGTTCTGTTAGCTTTACTAGGTAGCAGCAACAGCTACAATCTCATAGCAGAGGTTTTAGAACGTAACTTAAGCACGATAAAAGAATGGGAACTTTATGCTTGTTTAAACTGAATAATTTGAATTTACCTAAAGACAGAACAAACCTTTTTTTCTACAGCAAACTATTTATTTAGAGGTATAAAAAGGATCCATTTAAGAAAATACTAAATGGTCTAGGTAATTTAGGTTTAACTTAAAAAAATAATGAAATCTTGCCCCTCGTGTTCCTACACTTCAAGTTTTAGGTAGGAAAAAATTTAGCTTAATAGATTAGCAATTTGAAATAGGATTATAGACTCTTTAACATAAATCCCTCTTCCCAGAATGATTTGGGATTTCAGCTGAATCTAATAGTAAAACATTTATTTTTAGAAGTTGCTACAGTGCAGAGTTGAAAAGTTTGCATTAAGCAGTTCAACTTTTAAAATTTAATTCTTTAAAACAAAAGTTGAAAAACAGATAGTGTTTTTAAAAATAAAACCCACCCACCCTTTAAAAAAATCACATTAAACAATAGAAAACCCAAAGGGACAAAAAGAAAAAAAAAATACCCAAAATAAATACTAAAAAAAAAACCAAAAAACAAAAACAAACCAAGCACAATAATAACATACAGTCTCTGTTGTAACAACTGGAATCCGTACTTCTTAGACAAGCAAAACTTTTACTCCACTCACTGAGTGCTTTGCTTGTGTAAAAAAAGACAGGATTTGTCCCAGAGCATCCATAGGGATGGCATGATTTATAAGGCCTGATATGTTGTTATCTATCTGAAAACATTGCCTTTGTATTTACATCCCCCATTTATTGTTAAAGTCCCCTTGGGCATATACCTCTCTCCACCTGCAAAGGCTCATATGTTTGACAAGTACCTAAACTGAAGGCTACCCTTCCAAAAAATAAACCAGTGCACAAATTACAGGTACATAAAAGCTTCTCAATAATGGCAGAAGCTCTACATGTTGGAGAATTGTGATAATAGAAATGACCTAATATAGTCCGTATAAAGTTCAACAGACCTCCTGATTATAAATAAAAAGTATGGAAGCCCCAAATGAGTCACACCGTTTGGTGACAAATGTGGCTAATATTTTTTAGAGGTGGTTGAGAGGTATGTGCCTCAGAGACAAGAAAGGTGAGAAGGACTTCTGCACCTTCCACACAAGACAATATATATAGCACTCCGGGTTTTAAGGGGAAGAGGGGCACAGCCCTCTCCACACTACACTTAGGAAGGCTGAGCTTACCTTGTGATAATAAGATCAGCTTTCTAATCTTTTGCTAAATCGATCACAAAAGAAAGCAAGAATGAGAGACAGAGAGAGAAAAAGAGAGAGAAAGAGAGAGAGAGAGAGAGAAAACAAATTCACATTCTAGACATCTGGTTTTTTAAAAAAAACTTTAACAATCATATAGGGATTTAAAATAGTCTGATCACAAAATCATTTTCTGTCATAAGCGATCATCTCATATGCTGTCTTGATGATTTTCAGATCAGCTGCATAATCCAAAAATCATAAATCAAATTAAGACAAAACAAATTCACAGCATCAGCATCATCCATAAATGAGTTCTACACAGATCCATGCAGTGTGCAGATATGTGAGTGATAAACAGAAGTTGTCCCCACGGTCCCTGCTCTGACACAGTCTCCCCATTTTCTTGGTGTCAGATGGCAGATAACTCCAAGTGCAAGTTGCTAAGCAGAGTGCAGGAAATGCCTACTGCGACATCTGGGTATGACACCACCAGAGTTATACAAGAATGTGGAAACAGAGTTACACTATGTACTATTACTCTGCTGATGAAACAATCTGAGAGCCATAAGCAGCTCTCGAAATCCTACCCGTTTATTACTTTGAACACCCTCCCCGCTTTCTTAATTTCACAAGCACACATATTTCACGGTCGACTATAATCTAGAACTCTGTGTTGCTTCTCACACATCTGCAGTTACCACTTCCTAGATTCATGGCTGAGGATACAGCAGTCACATAAAGACACGTTGAATAGGAAGAATAAATTAACATTGACAAAAGGACACACTGATCACAGATGGACACATCTTTCCTAAAATGACTTGTGAAATTACACATCTCCACTGATATGTTCCCAGGAAGAGATGTTTCTCTTCATTTCTCACTTACAGCAATAGAAATCTGTAATCTAATTAGATGATGTACCAGCCCTCAATATCTGTCAACCAAACGATGTGCAGAAATGTGTAGACCAGCTCTGGCACTCTGTTCAACAGTGTCCCTTTTCCGCTGTCAGCAGTACTGTTGGCCTCTGCTAATATAATTACATTGACTTTTATTCAATTAAGTGCCATCCTTCGCTTAAAAAAAAAAAGCTACTTTATCAATTGATTCAGGTGTAATGCAATAATAAAGATGAACTCATGGCAGTGCATTAGCTCTGCTGTTCATAACTTCAGTACATGGGTTCATTCATGGTAGTCGATTTCCATTATGCAACCACAGTTCAAGAGAATTGATTCTTTTATGTTCATTTCTTAATCTATTTCATTTTTGTTTAATAATCCTCCTAAATACTGTATGCAAAACACTTGGAATGCGGACAGGAGGGATAAGTTGTGGAAAGCCTGCTGGTTTACACTCATGACAGTGAGCTTTGGAGATTTTCTAACAAACTCGCACAGCATCACTGGGGTAGTAAGAAGAAAAGCAAGAGAATGAAAGAAAGGAGAAAGATTAAATTCCTCAGAGTACTGATCCTGTCCGCAAGAGGCTGGCTCAGCCTCCACAGAGTGGACAAAAGGCGACACTTGATTGTCACAAAGACCTCTCATCAGACTCTGGAATCAGTCAATCCAAACCATTAACTGTCATAAAATGCTGTCCTCATGAAGAGATACAATGACCAAGGGTTAACAGCAATTTACAAGTTTATTTAGATCAGAAAAGTGAAGAGGTGAACAGAAAGGGAAGAGGCAAGAGACACAGAAAGAACTCAGGCCTACTGACTACCAATTATACAGAGAAGATCCTAAAACGGGAGGAAGACCACAGAGCGTTGGACACAGGAGAACCCCCTGGTGGAGTAAGCAGTATGGAGCTGTATGTAGTAAGGGGAAGGAGCCATGAAGGAACCAATTTTGAGTTCTCCAGAAGAAGAGACGGGTTTTCTAGAAAATAGGCTGTGTTTTGAATATTTATCTCCAGAAAAGAAGGAAAAATAATCACTAACAGAAATCCAGATTGTATTAGAACTTATGTTTTACAAGAACATAAACAGTATACAAAAGCTGTTTCTACTTGCTTTGATTAGGCAATAGGATATGCAGACACAAATTCCTCTCAAAGAAAAAAATAATGACTGGTCTAGAGAGATGAGTCCCTAAGTAGAGAGGGTAAGGATCTGGCATTAGTAGTAGTCCAAAATTTAGCCCCAAGATGGTCACTTTTCAAGAATAACACAAACTAAATCTGATTCAACCTCCAGTCTCTTGCAGTAAAGCAGAATGCTTTGCGCATGGAAGATACTTAAAACTATATTCATTTGCTTTCAATCAATATTATGCATGAGTCTTAAGGAGCTTTTCCAAAAATGCACTGTAGAAAACAATGATCCCAAGATTGGAAGCATGTAACAGAAGAATATTTAAGCAAATACAGAGGGTAATTCTGACCCTATTAATAACCCAGTGTGATGCAAGGAACTGCTATAATATAATTAGAGTATGAAACAGTCCCATACTTTGGGCTATGCCTAGAATTACATTTCCTCAGACCGTCTGCACTCTTTCCTACTCCTTCCATACTATGAGTTTACCAAAAGCTTCTTGAAGACTAAGATCGCCCTTAAAAGCTAAAAGCAAAAAGCAGTAAGGTCTACATTATATAGGAGAGGTCATAACACCAAACTTATTTTTTGAAATGCTAAGTGGAAGTACTCTAACTGAACTAATGAAGACTAGCAGTCTTTTTCTGTTTCTTTAATGAAAACTTGCATTAATTATGTATCAGCTAAAAAAAGAAAGAAAACTTTATCAAGCAACCACAGAAGACACCATATTCATCAAACACAGTCAAGTAAATGCAAGTGCCCTTCAGAGAAAGTAAGTCCTGTCTCTGGCTTTTCTTTTCTCCTATCTCCTTTTCCAAATGTCCAGTTTGACTTAATGCAATGCTTAACCAATGAAAATTAGAATTAAAAACATTTAAAAAAATGTGTTTTGAGATTTTAGCTTTGTGATACAGGAAAGGAACTTTTCTTCTTTTATAAGAAGTCCCATGCCCAAATGAAAAAAACAGAATGTGACAATGAAAACTGAGTAGTGAATCAAGCTATAGGTTCCATGAGAAGCCCAACATCTAACTTAATTTGTACTATTTTGAGTCATTCTAAACTTAGTAAATTGCAACAAAATACTTGATAATTAACTACAATAGCTCCAATAACAATGTGAATTAAGGGTTCATTTTGGATTAGTTTTGCCTTTATTTTCTTGCTCATCTCTGCCACTCAACACACACACACACCTCAAATTGTATCAGTGATATTTACATAATAGATACCATGTATATATACATATATATGTATACATATTATATACATATACATAGTTTGTGTGTGTGTGTGTGTATACATGTATATGGATATGGGGACAGAGATAAATACATATCCACTCTGGGAAAATCTAGATGCCAG